ATAAGCACGCTCCGTATATGTACCAACATCCTGTAATATGCTCAAGAGCATGCTTATGACCAAACTGCATCATTTTCGTGTGCTTATGAGCGTGCTTATCAGATACCCCATATAGGGATTCTCATAAGCACGCCCCGTATATGTACCAACATAATTACTGCACCTTGGGAAGTGATGAAATTTGAAAACCGTGAGCTCCTCCTCGGCTGGTACCGCCGTTGAGATAGTTGCCAATGGCAAGCACATATTCCATAACTGTTTGGAATTTCGTACTATGGATAATTTCTGTACATGTCTGCAACACTGAAGACACAGCCTGCAAAGTTATTAAAAAATTTTACTATTGTGCACTCGTATTCGCAGGGCCGCCAAGAGGTTGCGCCGTGCGCGGAACTGATAGAGCTATCCAGTATAAATAAAATTACACTAAAACTGTCTGTACCAGTGTAGGTAGTACCAATGAATGTGAAAATGCTGTGCTGAGTGGTTATATTACTACCTTAAAAAACAAGCAGAAACTGGACGTTTCGAGCGAAGGTCCTTCGTCAAGAGTTAGTAGTAATTAGTGTACTGTAGTTTAAGTTTCCTCCTGTAGTAACACTGAATCAATAAAGGATGATCCTTACCCAGTATAAATAGTTTATCTATAAGTGTGGCTCAGTTACTCACTGGAAAAAGCTCTTCATATTGAAGTGGAAATTCCAGAATGAATAACAACAAGTCTAAGCGAGCATTCAAGTCAGGAATCTCACAAAGCTGAAACAAAAAAGAAAAGATAAAGAATTTGTAAACAAGGAAAGCAACAAACCTGGGATGAAGTATGATAAAAAGGAAAGGTCCGACCTGCACACGTAACAATCTCACAACTTGTCAACAAGATGTGTTCGCAGGCTTGTAGCAAGCTTGTCAACAAGCTGTGACAATGCGGGTTTTTTATCAAGTTGCTACAAGGTTGTCACTCACAACTTGTTGACAAATTATTGAATTGCAGGACGATAACAAGTTGGAATAACTTGTAACAAGTCTGTTGAGCTAAACAACTTTGTAGCAAGTTGTCAACAAGCAGTGTGAACACATCCTGATGACAAGTTGTTGGAACAGCATTGCTACAAGTCTGCTGCAGGTTTGTCACAACTTGTGCGTTTTTACGTGTGTACCTTGATCATAAAATGGTCAGTTTTGGGAAGATCTTCTTTCGCTCCTTTGTAGTTTTTGTACATTTCCGTTTCCTCTGTGCTCGGTTGAAATCTTTTGAGAGAAATGACAATTTCTAAAGGAAGTCCACCATCATTTTCATCAATGAAATTCAATCTCCTGTCCACATCTTGCGCGTTCAATTTAAATCCACTTAAGAAAATTCCTAGAAAGGGAGAAATTTCGGAAACGGATAAAAAAATCATGTCAATTTTACTCTAATACGATCGACGCTTTGCTCAGTGCTCACCTAAATTCTGTGCCCTTTTATTATCCAGCAAACTCTTGGATGCATTTTTCTTCGCAATTTGAGCTAACAAAAAACAGAAAAAATATAGACATGGGAACTACAATCAGGAGCAAAAATTATTGAGACAACCGCATAAATGCCCCCCTCACCCCCAATTCAATGTTGAGTGAATGATTAAAAAGAGAAAATTCAACCCACTTTTTCCAACATTGATCATGGGGGCAGGGGGGAGGCCGACGTACTTTAAAATGGCCAAAAACGTGAAAAGTCTCATTATTTTTGCACGCGATTATAGTAATACTTGATACTGAACTACTTGAAAATAACATCTCAAACGTGGAAGTTCAATGTAGGTAGTATTCTACAGACGGTATCTTCCGATCTTAGTTAATCCTACAGTGACTTTGTAAATGATTTCGGGAACAATGAAGCGATTTAAGGCTACTACGTTTACACTTTAGTGGATAGCTTTCCGTAGCGACGTAAAAAAAAAACAACCTAACCGTACCTTTTAGGAACGCTATTTTCAGAGGAATTATTTCAACGGAGAGATGTTGTTTTGCTCAACTTCTGAAAGTTGTACATTCCGTATCGGATAGGTGCTTTTTCGCGCCGCTACAGAAAGGTATCCGGTATAGTGGAAACATAGCCTCGATCTCATTCAAGTAATTCAGACAGCAACTACTGCTACAAAATAAAAAATAAACTATTACTACCTAAATCAGGTGCATTAGGTTTCTCCTCGACTTGGAATAAATCTTCAATCATTTTGACATCCAACTCGTCCAATCTATCCTGTGCTTTGCCCCACATTGATGATAAAAGCTATAGAGAGTTGTAAAGAGATATTTTGAGAATAAAATATGAAAGATTGACAAGTTTTCTTTGAGAGAGAGCCGAAAATGGGTCATGTCAGATTTTAAATAAAGGCAATGCGTCTAAGTTTCCTCTTCAAAACGAGCTTGAATGTAGTTATTTTCTTACCAGGTTATTTGGGACTTTTGTCCAAAAGAAAGGTCGAACTTTCACGTTTGGTTTCACCAGAGGTTTAGGAGGAAACGTTGCGGCCGGACCTAAACCAAACGGGGGTGGTGGAGGGGCGCCTCCTCCTGGAGGAGGTGGTGGTGGTGGTATACCCATTCCAGGGGGTGGGGGAGGCGGAATAACTGAACCTGGTGAGGACAAAGCAGAGGGGACTCCAACTGCAGTTACGGGGGGTGAAAGAGGTGTTACGACTGGGGGGTCGGCAGCTCGAGTCGGGGTCGGGATTTTGAGTGGGGGGTCGGAATTTTGATGCAACGTGGTCGTTATTTCTGAAGGTGCTTCTGGAAATGGAACAAGAAAAGTTAGAAAAGTCGTAATGTTAGTATAGTATTGCACAGTGATTTAATATTTCGGTTGCCATTCGATTGCATGTGTGGCGGCTAGACTGAGATTAAAGGGGTTTTGTCAAGTTATTTCTGAGTGGTACAGTACGATTCGAGAAAATAAATATGGTGAAAAGGGTTCATTTCTACACCGCAAATTATCCTGTGGTGGAAAAAAGCAATACACCCTCCCGGAAAGTAGTTGAGTCTGGCTATAGATATTAACTAAACCCAAGCGTCTCAATCACAAAAACGAGGACCTATAGCTAAAAAGAAAGCTTCGGACTGATAGCGATGCAACTACCTGAAAAATACAAGGAGAACGTCGACAATTCGAGTGCCATAAGGCCTTTTGTAGGGAAGTTAGTGATCTATAGCTAAAGTGACATACTCTCCAGAAGGGTCTACAGCATTAAACTACTATAATTTATTAATAATGATGTTTAAATTGTTCATGCAACATTACCTTGTCCAGATGTATGATTAGCAACTGCATGATCGCCACGTGAAATATGAGTCGGTTGCGATGTAGCACTACTGCCCCCTCCAGTCTGTACTGAAGAACTGCCAGTCACGTGCTTAGTTACGTCATTACTTGCGTTACCATGACGACTAGTGACGTCAGCAGTACCTCCGTTCTGCTCTGGAATTGAGCTTAAGGAGTTTACACTAAGTTTTCTCGGAGGCGTGGTTTCATTGGGACTCACTGGACCAGGTGTGTAGTTCATTGCTACCACTGACTTCCTATAGTTAGGTGAAAATCAGGAAATAGTAGAACGTTAATAAGTTCCCTTGTAGTTTTGCATGGCGAACTATATCAGTTTTCGTTTGTGGAAACACCAAAACCGATAAATAGAAGACTAATTGGCAAATATTACAAGTGATTATAATTTCGCCTCAGTTGCAAGTGAGAGGAGCACTTCCAGGTGCCACAAAACACTACAAGTTTACTCCGTGGTTTCCTCTTGTAGTAACACTACACCAATAAGGGATGGTTCTTACTGGACTTGTACAGATAATTATAAGAACTGACTCGAGAATAAAGTTAGTTTATAAGAAATAACTCAGTTTTTCTTACATTGTCCAAGCAAGCAAGCCAGTTTTAATCTGTTCGTCCAACGTCTTCACTATTTCATCCACTTTTCTCATCTGCAAGACAAATTACAAAAGAACATTGCTACTTCAGTTCAGCGATGAAAAAGAAGTGTCAACATCTCGAAGTGTGAATATAATGTTTTTGATGTTACTCTGAGTGTATATCCACATTGGCTCAGTTGCTCAGAGCATTGGACTAGTACCCCAATATGGATGTGGATATACTCCGAGTGTATATCCACACTGGCTCGGTATAGCTCAGTTGGCAGAGCATTGGACTACTAGGTCAGGCTAGCTTTTCAGCCTGCCCAGGGTGGATATACACTCAGAGCAACATCTTAAACATCTAAAACATAACATCTCTGACGCTGACCACCATCTGCTGTATGCTGACTGCAAGACTCCAGGTACAGGTTGTATGAAAGCAGGATAGCGCTATATCCAGCGGATGATGATTTTTTCAACCGTTGTAAAATGCTTGAAAAATTATAAAACTTCGGACATGGACCTAATAAAAATAAACTTTAATTTATAAATACTAAAGTTTAATCTGGGTTATACCAATCAACAGCTTATTTTAGGAAGCTTGAAAACATCGCTATCCGGCGGACACCAGGCTCAGGGTGTTTACCTGTGTTGTCGCTTGAATGGGAGCATCCAGTACGTTCATGATCGACATCAACTGTTCCAATTCCTAAGAGAACGAGTTGTAAGAACTTTGTATTAAAAGAAAGAAACATTTGTCAATCCTTTAGCACATCTTCAAGTACCTTCTGTAGACTTTCCACAGTCTTTCTGAGGTATTCCTCTTGTTCCAGAGCAGAGTTCAATATATCTTGAAGAAAATGTAGAATTATTATTGCCAGCCTGGTTACCAGGCTTTATCCCTCTGCTAGAAAGCGTGGCTGGATGTAGGCCCAAGAAAGCAACTTGTTTCAAGCCCCAGGCCAACCCCAGGCCCTGAAAAGCTAACGTCCTAATATATCGACTGGAAACCTGTCTGGATTATTGCTAGAGTCCAACTCTCATTCTCATTTGACTTAAAGTGTGACTAACCCCAAATATGATTTTTCGTATGTGTAATATTTGGGTCATTCGAAGAGGAAATGTAATATATCTTTATAATAAAAAATCCCATCTTGATCAACTTTTTCACTGTCAAAGTTTGCGGATATGATGTCAAATTGAATTACTTTTCCTTTGTTTTTTGTACCAAAAATTCACCAAATGACATAATATCCGGAAACTTTGACAGTGAAAAAGTTGATCAAGATGAGGTTTTTTACTATAAAGATACCTTACATTTCTTCTTAGAATGACCCAAATATTACAAATACCAAAAAATTATATTTGGGGTTAGCGCACTTTAACAATGTGAGAACACATGCAACAATACCTTGCTTTTGAAATGAAGGAGACTTAACCAGAGGACTGTCCATTACAAAAGGATTTGATGGTTGCAGAGCTTCTGAAAGCGCCTGAAACAGGACAGGTAAATATATTAGCCATTCCGAAGTTGATGAGAGGACTGGGGACGAGTGTTAAAAAGTGCCCAACTTAAGAAATGAACCAAATGACTAAACAGACCACGTCAAAATTAGTAAGTATACAAAGTTTGAAGACGTTTACATGAATACCCTTCGAATAATAAGCTTTCGAAAATTGTGAAATTACTGATTAAAAGATTGTTTTTGGGACGACATTTCATAGTAAATATCACCATTTTCGAAAGCTTATTATTCGAAGGATGTTCATGTAAACGTCGTCAAACTTTGTATACTTACTAATTTTGAGGTGGTCTTTTTAGTGATTTGGTTCATTTCTTAATTTGGGCACTTTTTAACGCTCGTCCCCAGTCCACTCATCAACTTTGGAATGGCTAATTAAGTAAACAAAGATCGTTGACAGAAATAAGCACAGTATTCGGTATTACGGCTGGGGGGAGCTTGTTTTGCTCGAGGGGGGGGGGGGGGG